GGGAGACGGCGGCGGGGCACGGCCGGTCGTCCCCCCCGCCATGCCCCCGGCGGGGGAGGTAGGGCCCCACCCGTGTCCCGAATCCCCCCTTTCCCCCCCGTGGAGGCGGCCGGTTTGCCCGGTGGCCCCGGGTAGGGCGGGCCGGGTCCGCCTCTGTGCGCCCTGCACCGTGCCCGCTGGGGCTGGGGGTGCCTTGTCCCCGGGAGAGGGGACAGGCCGGGCTGGGTGGGCGCCGGGCCTTGTCACCCGGTTGGGGGTCAGCCTTGCGGTGACCGGGACGGGAAGGTGGCCCCCACCGTCGTCGGTGTCCGTTCAGGCCGGAGAAGGGCCGGGAGTCAGGGCCCCAGAGCAGGGGGGTGGCTGGAGGTGGGGGGTGGGGGGGAGTGTCTGTGGTAGCGGCAGGGCTGGACTCGGCCAAGAGGGGCTACAGATTGTGCCCAAGATTGTGGAATTTTCTCTGAAGGCTGGTTTTTTTTCCCCATTCCCAGGAGTCTCCGAAGTCTGCCAAGAGCACCCCGAAGCCTGGCGGTGGCGGCGGCGGCAGCAGCGGGAAGGATGGCGGGGCGGAGAATTCGGAAGAGGTAAGAGGCTTCTCGCCTTGGGTTCCAGCCGTGTGCTGGCCTGCAGCTCCTCTGTGAGGAGGAACAGCATCTCCCATCCCAGCTCCTTCAGGCCGCTCTGCCAGCTCTCACGCGTGGCCCCGGGATCTCCTGGAATCGGTAGGAGGACGGTAGCAAAGAGGAAAGTTAAGATGAAGTTAGTTTCCCCCTTGAAAGTTTGGCCCGAAGGGAACCTTGGCTGTGGAAGAGACAGGACGAATCTCATATCTCCTACTCTACAGCCCTGCGAAAAGAGATTTGGCGCCAAGTTGACGGTGAGGGTTGCCGGAGGTTGCAGAGGTGGCCGGAGAGCGGTGAAGTTGGTCACAGAGAAACCTGAAAAGAGATTTGGCGCCAAGCTGACGGGGAGAGTTGCCCGCAGAGGTGGCCGGAGAGCGGTGAAGTTGGTCACAGAGAAACCAAGAGCCACGGTTATTGAGCAGGAGGAAGCCTGACAGACGCCAGCAGCTTCCTTGCTCCTGTCAGAGCAAAGCATGATAAGTTCTGGTTGTCACCTTGTGTCAGAGTGGGAGAGTAAGTGAGAAGCGGTAGAAAAGGAACGTGTTCTTCTGAGGCATCTTCTGGGGGCGTGAGACTAGGAAATAATGGATAGGACACCTGAAAGAAGAATAAAGTGCTAGAGATGAAATGGTTCTCCTTCGCTGCAACAGCCTTGTTGCTGAACACAACCCATTACTCACAAGAAGGCACAGTCTGTATTCCCAGCTGTGCAGAGTCTCTTTCGTTCTCAGTTTTGATGTTGCCAAGCTAGATGTGGTAGGATGGCCTCAGCAGAACGTGATAATATGATCAGCTGTGTTTAGAATTTAAAAAAATAATCAGGTAAACTGGAACTTTTCTGGTAGACTTGAGTTTCTCCAGCACTCGGACGGTGTGGTTGTGGATTTCGAGACTTGGCTCAGGAGAGCGTTGTACCCGTGTCCAAGGAGGCATGCATATGTGAGCGGTTTAATTTTTTTTTAATGCTGCAATTTGGCAAACGAGCTGTGCCACTTCTGTGTCCGTAGAAGCTTGTGTGCTCGAGTCTTGTCTGGAACACATCGCACTTGGAATTTGGAGGACTGGGGGTAGGAGACATGTAAGGCTAACAAAGACGAGGAAAAAATCTGTAGTTTGGTGGGATGGTCTTAGTCGAAATAAGGTTATTTTAGAATCTCCTTCGAAGCACAGGTCTGTGTTGCAGAGCCTCAAAACATATCCCTACTACTAGCCACTTGGTTTCAAGGTTTAAGCTGCCCTCATGCCTAACCTGCCACGTGGCCAGCAAGGCGTCAGAAGTTGAGTTTGGTTTGCCTTGTAGCAGGTGGCAGTTTGGTAGATCCTCTCTTTTTATATCCCACCCTAGTCTTGGCCTCTGTCCATTTTATTTTGCATGTATTACAGCTAAAACCAGCCGACTCCAAGAGCAGGTGGCTCTTTTTATATCCTCTCTTTTATATCCCACCCTAGTCTTGGCCTCTGTCCATTTTATTTTGCATGTATTACAGCTAAAACCAGCCGACTCCAAGGAAAAGGAGAGATCTCCTGCCTTGGCATCGTGGGATCAGGCTGACCTTTTTTCTTTACTTGGCGGCCTCTGTCTCCTGAGTTCACAGCTCTGGGAGGAGGAAGGAAAGCCTGGGTCTTGCAATGTGAGGGTGACAGATAGCCATCAAAGCAGAACGCTCCGATGTCCCCATCCGAATCAGCGCCGGGCTGTGGCACTGTTCTCCTGGTTACGAGTGGCGCAGGAAAAATCTGTGACCTGAACCAGCAGGTAATGTCTGGTTGTGGCGGGGTGCAGAAGAAACTTAGAAGTGATGCGTCCAACCTTCCCTCCCACAAAACATAGCCAGCCACTTCCTCATACTCCAAAGAAAATCCAGCCCTTCTTTAAGATGGAAGGCTGGGTCTCCTTTGATCATAGGAACAGAGGGAAAAGCAGAAAGGAGACACCTCTGCGGTGTGCACCGCCACAGGTCTCTTCTCCCTTTCCCTGTTGAGTTTGCAGGGAAGTTGGTTCTCTCTTGGTGCTTTCCTGCCTCCGGACTGCTCTGCTGCAGAATGGGAGAGAGCTCTTTGCTTGCTAAGAAGAAATGTATGCCAGTTTGAATGCGATTTTCCTGCTCTTCAGGAAGCACAGAAAGGTATTTTGACTTTCACATTGGGGGACCGTGAGGAATTGGGTAATGTGTGCGAGAGTCCTTTCTCCTCTCAGAAGCAGGAGGGGGCTTGAGTCCTGAAACACCAGGAGTGGTATTGCCTGGTGGGGTTGACGGACTTGAGCCCAGCCTGCCATTGTGAGGGTTTTGTGCCCTGTAAATTTCTCCATGGAGGTATGGTTGGTTGGTTGGTTGCCTTTTCTAGGGTGAAAGTTGTGTGCACCGAAGAGAATTTTCGTTTTTTCTTTGTATCTCGATAGATGTTTATTGGGCTTGCAGCAGGAGAGCAGAATTTGGGCAGCCCTCTTCCAGTATGGGCTTTGCTCTCTCATACCGTGCTCCAAGGAGCAAGGGAGGACTCAGCCCCAACTTATCCTGGTACCAGAAAGTTGTGACTTGTTTTGCAGGCAAGTTGTCTGGCTGGTGGGATGAGTAAAGCTTGTTGGAGAGCAGCTCTGGTTTGACAGATCTGAGCCAAGTGCAGCGGGTGAGGACCTCCTGTGGGGAGGGAGATGAGGAAGGGTAGGAGTCAGTCCAGAAACCCTTAAGCATAGTGCTTTGTTCTCTGCAGCGAAGGAGCTTTTAGTGGAGCTGATCTGGAAGGGCAGATATGTTCAAAAGCAGACGCGTCCCCACGAGGGAAGGCAAGTGTTTGAGTTCCCTCGTAAGCACAGGGATGCTTTTAGATGCCCATCTTAGGGTGAAGGTATCTGAGGTGAAGAGCCAGCAGAGCTTGGCCAGCCCCTGGCTTTGGAGGGGCCAGTTTGCTCGGGAAGAGAGAAAGGAACAGTGGAGGAAAATACAAGAGCAGGGAGTGTGAAATGAAAGGTTTGTTTGGTTCATTCCCCTTTGAAGCGTGATGAAGATATGAATTGAGGGAATTTCTGCGCGGATATTTAAGGAGGAAAAAAAAAGAAAAATAATGTCAGAGACCAAGGCAGCGGAATGAGAGGCTGAGAAAGAGTTACTCCTCCTGGCCAGAAAGACTGGGAGAGGCAGCTGGGTGGGGAAGAGAGTTAATGACCTGGAAGTGGGAGCAGGGATTAGCAGCAGCAGTAAAGAGGGGAGAGGAGTTGCTCTGCAGCCTCAAGGGCAGCTTGGAGCCTCGCTGACGAGATTTGCAGCTCTGGGAGAGGGTGCTCCTTTTCACCGAGAGCTGCTGCATTACGTGTTTTGCAGATATCTCCATGGGGCTTGTTACTGCAGTACCTGGAGTTCATTATTCAGAGACAGGCATTACAGCGTGTTGATGTTACTTCTGAGGCAGAGAGAGCTTGATTTTTAATAGGGAAGCTCTGTAACAGCAGACAAAGGGAGCAGGTACTGACTTGAGGGATGGGAAGGGAAGAGTCATCTGAGGAGGAGGAGGAGGAGCTGAGAGCAGATCTGGGCTGAGAAGCTTAGCGAGCGGGGGATGCTCAAGGGACCAGTGAGGCAGAAGGGCTTTCGGAGCGGTGATGCACCCAGCCGCGGTAGGAGAGCCTGCAGAGGTGAGGTCATGCACGGATGGGAGAGGAGGGGAGAAGCTGGCGCAGCTCAGGGCGGCCAGGGGAAGAGAGTCTCTCTGTCCCTGGGAGCCCAGGGTGAAGAGAAAATGGCACAGAGCGAGCCCAGGGCCTTGGGGCTCATTGACTTGTGCAGGCAAGTTCCTGGCGAGGAGGAGAGGGCGGTGGGGAACCGGCGGGGAGGAGGTGCTAGGAAACCGGGGAGCTTTTGGGGAAGATGGAATGGGGTTGCATTTGGGGCTGGCCCGCCCTGGTGACACCGGTGGCTGCTCTGCTGCGGTGGGAAAGGTGGGGGCTTCGCCACACCGTGCGTGGGCAAAGGGCTTTGTGCTGTTCTCTGGTCACTTTGGCACATGTAAGCCCAACAGCCACGGGCAAACAGCATCTCCCAAAGCAGCTGGTTTTGCTGTGGTGGTGTAAGCCCTGCCCGTTGGGAAGGGGACGAGACCGATGGGGTAAGATGTGTGCCCGCAGCCATGTAGTGTGCAGCTGGTGGTGATGTCAGGGAAACAGTCTGTGAGGGTGATACCTGTGCATTTAGAGAAAAAGCGTTCAGCTTTAGCAGTCTGCCTGTGTTTTTTGGGATGGAAACTCCGGAGAAGAAGGTGTTAGGAAACTTCAAACAAGCCTCTTGTGATTGGTGTGGTCAAGGTAGGAGGTGCTCCCCAGTTCAAGAAGAGCTCCCCAGTTCCAGAAGGACAGGGAACTGCTGGAGAGGGTGCAGCAGAGGGCTACAAAGATGATGAGGGGCCTGGAGCATCTCCCTTAGGAGGAGAAGCTGAGGGACTCGAGGCTTTTTAGTCTGGAGAAGAGAAGGCTGAGGGGGGATCTGATCAATGCTTATGAATACTTAAAGGGAGGGTGTCAGGAGGATGGGGCTGGTCTTTTTTCAGTGGTGCCCAGGGACAGGGCAAGGGGAAATGGGCACAAACTTGAATAGAAGTTGTTCCACCTAAAGATGAGGAGGAACTTCTTTCCTTTGAGGGTGGCAGAGCCCTGGCAGAGGCTGCCCGGGGAGGTGGTGGAGTCTCCTTCTCTGGAGACATTCAAACCCCACCTGGACACGTTCCTGTGCAACCTGCTCTGGGTGGCCCTGCTTTGGCAGGGGGTTGGACGAGATGATCTCCAGAGGTCCCTTCCAACCCCATGTGATTCTGCTGAAGGCAGAAGGACAGGAGGCCTGCCACAGGAAGCACCTCTTGAAAGCAAATATTCAGCATCCTTGATGCCAGGAAGTCCATACAGAAGCAATCCATCCTAGAGCCCTCTGAGTGCTGCAGCTCAAGAGTATACCTGACCTCCCCCATCATCGGATTTTCTCTAAGCAAACTCCCTTATGTGATTTTTTTATATTTTTTTTATTTGCACGTGTATGCCCGTTTCTTAAATAACTAGCAGCAAAACCCGAAACTGTGTTTTGTTTCTCTTCATGCCAGCTGTTGAAGACTGCAGAAGCTGGTGGCAAGGACTTTTCCCAGCCCCCTGGTGAAGGCAGGGTGGCTGCAGCCCGTTAGCACACGGTACACGCACCGTGCTGAGAACGTTTGCCTGTGGCATTTCGGGGGGG